AGGAAAACTACAGAGGAGGGTCCACATTGAGTAAAGCATCCTTTCACCAAGCTTTTGCCATGATGTTTCAGCAGCCGAAGGACGATCCAGTCCAGAAGCATAAGGACTATCAGAGGAAGACCCAAGACCATGTGCACCATTCCTAGGTAGGACAGAAGCCAGGTAACTGTGCTAACACAATGTTGTCAGGCATATTAGCTAGAGCACCATGCTAAGCAGATGAGGCTGGAGAGCTTTGGGACCACAGGTGCTTGCATCCCACCAGCTTGGAGTGCGTACACATCTGTAGTTGTGTCTTATGACAAAATTCATCTTGTGTGTCAAGACTGACATGGTTGATATACTCTGTGAACTCACTTTGGTAGAGTGACTTACAAAAGGCAGAGTTTGCTTCTTGGAAGATCAGCCTGGTGGTGATGGATTATCACTGTGCTAGACAGCACAAGGTGAGTAATAACTGGGATAAGGTCTGAGCATCTCTCAAGTGCCAGACCTGGTCCAACAACCTGGTGTCGTCCCGTTTGGCTTCTCTCACCAGTTCGTGCCCTGTCATCCTTGTAGTGTTTTCACCTGCTGGCCACAGGAGATTCAAGATAAAACTGGCAATATCTAGTAGCAAATTAAAGTCAAAAGGAGTTTTCATTTTATTCTGCTACTGAATCCTCTCCCATACATTGCTCCTTCTCCCTCTGCCTATCCCTCTTCCCTTAGCCCAGATCCCCAAGGTTGGTAGTGCTGCCCTGTCCTCTCCACAGTCATGGTGGCAGCCAGCAAGCTCTGCAGCTTGCCTTAATCATTTTATGGACAAGATTATTCCCTCCTGCATTGCTTTTGATTCTTGTTATGCAACTGTATTTCGTGACTTGCTTTGCTACTGAGCTGTGCCACATCATGGCCTGAGGGGATAGCTTGAGAAGACTGCTGGGAGCATTGCATGAGTTCTGATCCCACCTGAGGATGGGGATGGGAGTCTGGAAAAACAGGAGCTGTCACGGTCTGAGGTTTTCAGACTGGGGACAAGAAGAAAGAAGGGGATTAGGCAAGCCCAGGAGTTTGTATAAAAAGTGAGCAGGGAGCCTGAGGCAGCTAGATCAGAGTATCATTATTCATGAAGACTCACAGATGTAGAATTGGAAATGAGCACAAGTTCAAAGGGGGATATGGGTTTGTTAGTACAGCAGCTGGGATGAAAACTGATGGTGCCACAGCAGCACATGCAAAGCAGTTGTTCCTGGGCCAGGCAGATAGGGCCTCTCTGGGCAGGAAGGGTTGTTCTCCAGGTGCTGTGAACCCTGACTTCAGGGCTGGGGACTGGCATTTGTGAGCTTATTCTTAGTTCTGTCACACTGTTTTATGAGATTGGGCAAGTTTCTTTCCATGTGGTAAACTGAGACAGAGAACAAGTGAAGCTGACACTTGGCAAGGGCAGTTATGAGTGTTGGTACTGTAACTTGAAGGGGCTATAGATTACAATAATGAGACTCACTGCAAACTAAAAACATAAATGTGTTCTCCTAAAGCACAAAAGAGTGTTACCATCCTCTTTGCATGTCAGTGAGTTTCTCCAGAAACTTCCCTCCCCTTTCTCTAAGTAGTCTACAGATGATTTTGGAGCAGTCTATGCTGCTGACCCAGTTGTTTTTCACTCACGAGAGTTCTAGGGATGGTCTTGTAGAAATCCAAGAACAGCTCAGAAAAGAGCTGAGCTGACAGGTTAGGTGCATGAAGCCAAGGGAGCTGGAAAGCATCGCAGGAAACCCTCCGACCATGGAAACATTTGCAGTGGTCAACCTCTTGCTGAGATTCTCATGCTTGAAGGCTCACAAAACATTTGGAACAAGAAGGGAGGTTTCCTTGTTTGTTTTTCGTTGTACTTTAAATCCTCTCTGGACTCCACTTGTGGTCTCAGAACCTCAGTGCTGTGACAGCAGTAGGAACTCCACTGACAGCCACGTAGCTGCAAGGGAGAAGCTGCTTTGCACACAGAGAAGAGCACCATGTCTCCCAAACCCTTGCTCTTTCAAGTCATGTGAATGGTGGTTCATATGTTTCTTACCTCTGTCTCACACATCAAGTCCCTCCTTGCAGCTCCTTCCTCCTGTGCTGGAAGACCTGTGCTGTACAGGTTAAAAAATCCTGGTTTTATTAAGGGAGGGAACATGCGCCAGTGCCAAAAGGCAGCAAAGGGATGGATTCACCGTTCAGAGAGTCAGGGAAGGTGGGGAAACTGCTCCCGAATGTATCCAGCCCAGAAGGAGCTGTTGCTGAGGGAAGCAGGGAAGAAATTAAGAGTTCTTAGACTGCTGTCATACCAGCGTGAGGTTTGGGTGCCAGCAGGAGGGTATGGCCAGCACATTGCCCCTTTCATCAGCTGGGGTACCTGTATTTCTCATGGAAGGAAGGCATGTCGTGCTGAGCAGTCTCATTGCTGCCGTTATGTCTGGTGTGTTCTGACCCTTGTGCTTTGTCTGCGCACGCTCAGCGTGCAGCCACCATCTGCAGCACAGAGGGAAGGTGCAGGGGGAAGGCTTGGGACAAGATTCACCATTTTCTCTTGCCATCATGGCTTCACTGGTATTGTCTGAGACACCCTTGCCATCAGGAGCAATGGCTGAACCTCTACTTTGTTTTTGCCCTGGGGCAGGGTAGCTGATATAGTGCCTATGTGGATGCAAGGAAAGGTGTCCTACATCCCAACTAATCTGCAGGAGCTGATCACTCTTAACTAAAACAACTTGTTTTTGAGGTATTTCTCTTCCTCCACTATCAGCCAGGTCTGAATGTACTCAAAATGTTGCTAGGCAAATACTCAGCCTTGTTTGCTGCTCTGACTTCACATATGTGCGTCAACTCTGCTCCTCAGTATCCTGTGGCCTGGGATGACTCTCCAGGATGGAGATGAAAGGATGGGGCACTGGAAAGGATGACTCCTGATGTTTTCAGACTGGGGACAAGGAGAAAGAAGGGGATTAGGCAAGCCCACTGCCTATCTGTTCTTCTACCCTTTCTTGTTAGCAGCGCCAGGCTGTACTGTCCAGCCAGGCTCTGGTGAAGCTCGACAGCTGTGTGGTTGACAACTGGTTGAAATGTCAGAGTACCTTGTGCAGATGACACATGATGACACTTCATGCTCTTTGCTGGTGTGCTCGATCAGCTGCAAGATAGATAAAGGTTAGTGTTTGCGTTGGCACTACTGGGCCAACGTTTGCCCTGCTCAGATTAACCCGGTATTTCCCGCTGCTTTCCTAGCTGCCCTTTCAGGCTCCTTGCAGTTTCAGCAGTTACCATCACAGTGATTTATCATCACTGCCCAGTGGGAACGTTCCCTTTGCAACCACACAGCTAAGACACTGTTTTTAGTGGGAACTTGTCCTGGACTAGAAGATGGTGGCCAGCAGCAGGAAGCACTGCAGGCTGGCAGGTTGTGTGTTTTGACTCCCCAGCTATGAGATGGCCCTTCATCTCATGACTTTTCTTTATTATTGAATGCTTTCAATTTATCCCCTGTTCTCTAAGAATATAGATGTGTAGAGATGGTATGCTTTTTGGGGTTTTCTTAGTTTGAAAGGTAAAATGCTGTATTTCTAAGAGGAGTCATGATTTAACAGAAGCCATTTGCATTTTCCCAGGACTTGGAACCTTTGACATTAATTAAGTCTTTTCTAGCAATGGCATTTAACACACAGTGTACTTGTGACATCATTTGTTTTCTGGCTCAGTGATCTGACAGTTCAATGTTTTTCTGAGTTTGTTGGACTCTTCCTTCAAGAGCCCAGCTTTAGGACAGGGTTCTTCAGCCTCCTCTAACCCTTGTGGAGCTTTTCCTATGCAGCATCTTGTCTGGTCTGCACTGAAAATACGAGGTCTCAAAATCCTGAGGAAACGGGTAATTTATTCTGACACTTGCAGAGCCATCTCGGGTGGCTTACTGCTGTCACTGCAGTCAGTGCTGTCACTCCAGCTCTATAGGAGAAAGACCCCTGGGAGACAAGCTGGGGTTGGAATGTAGCATTGTGCCTTTGAACTTGTCTCCTCCCAGACATTATTTTCAGTACTCCTTTATGCCTACACTGAGTCAATGTGTTCTTGGGTTGTGTTGGAGGCTGTTGTCTTCTCTCCTGATTACAAGAAATAATTATGTCTGATGTACAGAAACAGAACTTGTAACAAGATCAGCACAACTGTTATTTTTGTGCAGACTGCAATGGTTTCAGTAATATTTGTGCTTTTGTATTGCTTGCATCCTTATGAAAACCTTAACTTTCCTGACTTCTGTTGTGCTGCTTGAGACCTCATTTGCCCCTTCTTGCTTTGTTTCCTCTGTGCTGCCTACATCCTGGGGCCAAATTAAGCAGTGTCTGAACAAGAAAGAGAATCTGTGCATCCTGAACACAATTGACAAAGATGATATGTATTCCGATCTGTTATTAACAACTTTGTCTGGTTTAGCTGTCTTAATTAGCCCCAAATTAAATACGTACTTTGCAGTGTCTAGACTGCGTCTGCCTATGGAAATAGCAGGTGGCTGCGTGGCATCCAGTCTCAGTGGAAGTGGCCAAGAGCAAGAGGATGGCGGAGCATCGCTGAGGCCCTCCCAAGCAAAGTTACACTCAGAAGGAGCTGTGCTGAATGGTGAGGGAAAGCGTCCGGGTCCCGGTGGTCCCCTCGCTGGCACGGCTCTGCGGTGCTGCTTCGCTCGTAAAATCAGGTCGACGGGAAATGTCAACCGTGAATGAGCTGAACTTTCTGCTCTGCCCTGCGGACCCGGGATAAGGAGGTTTGGGGATTTTGAATTTCGTTTTTCTTCCTTCCCCCGAATGGGAAATACTCGGTGAGCTCTTCCTTCCCCGGCCGGGGCAGCCGCGGGTGATGCAGAGGGGCTGCGGGACGGGGCGGGGCAGGGCAGGGGCGGCGAGCGGGGAGCGGATGCCGCCGGGGCGGGGGGCGCGGGGGCCGCGGGGGCAGGGCCCCCCCGGCGGAGCGAGGGGCGGGCGGCTGCCGCTCGCCGGCCCCTCCGCTCGCGGAGCCCGCGGTACCAGCGCCTCGTCTCGCCTCGGGCGGCGAGAGGCAGGGCCCCCGCCATGGAGAGTGGGATGCCGCTGACGGGCGGGCAGCGAGCGCTGATCCGGGAGAGCTGGCGGCGGGTAAGCGGCAGCCCCGAGCAGCACGGCCTCGTCCTCTTCGCCAGGTGAGCGCGGCGGCGCGATGCGGACACCGGCACCCCGGACCGACCCGTGCGGGAGGGATGGACGGGGTCCGCTTCTTGGAGAGAAACGCTTCCCTGTGCTTGGCGACGGCTCCCAGAGAGCTCCCTTCCTCTGGCCTCTCTCCGCTCCCGAGAGCAACCGGGGCCGAAGCCCCTCCGTCGCCCAGCCGCGGATGCCATGGGGCAGCGGCGTGGGGCAGTGCTGGGCTCCGCTCCGCGCTGCTCCCCCGCCTTTCCCACCCTCTGCCAGTGAGAACTTTGTTACGCGGAGACGGAGGGTGAGAGAGAAGCGGCGGGCAGGGTTTGTGCGTTTCTGCCCGCTGATCCCCTGCCTTGTCACCACGACTTCTGCTGTTTGAAGGGCTGCTTGCACCCTCGGCTCTGGGAAGCGTATGGAAGGGGCCGCCTGACCGTTCTCTGATCAGGGAACTGCTGCACAGCCCCAGGCACAGATTTGGCCGCCGGGGAGGAATTCAGTGTCAGGGCAGAGGAAATGGTGTGCCGGGGGGAATGACTGATACCTAGCTTCTTGCCTGTGCTAAACAGATTAATATATCAATTATGTGAAGAGAAAAAGGAAAAATCAATGAAAAGTCATTTAAAAAGAACAGTTGGAGAGTTGATGAGCAGCTTCCGAACAAGTGGGATCCTCCCAGAGCAGGACTAGAGCAGTGACAGCAATGTGGGGGGACAGGGATGCAGTAGTTTAATGTACAGGATGATGAGAAGAGAGACTGTCTTGCCTGAATTCCCTGTGGCCTGTTAGATCTACCTGGATGACTGCTATTGAGGCTTATATGTGCCTGACATGCAGGGGCAGGGAAGATGGAGCAGGGGCGGGGGGGTGGGATGGGAGCTGGTGAAGGTATCAGAGAGTGTCTGAGTTTGTGCATGTCCCCTTGCTCCAGACAGCTGCTGGAGCTTGGAGATCTTCCCTGATTTGTGAGCTTTTGGGTTCAAGGGGATCAAGAAGTGGGAATGGGAAGAGTTGAGCCAACAACCAAGACTCTGGGGAGAAGGGCTAGGCTGGGAGGAACTCCATTGAGCTGGGACTGGTCCTCAGGTGCCATAGACATGTATCTGAGAGCTGGAGTTGTGGGCCAGGGAAGTAGAGAGGTTTTTGCCTATAGCTAATCTGGATTGCCCAAAACCAAAACTTTTCAAAACTTTTGAATCCTTTACAGGTGGGAGGGTTCAGTAGGTGGGAAGGGAGGTAAAAGGGGGCTGTGGTTGTGCTGCTGATGGGGTTGTTCCTGGGGTGAGTAGGGCTTTAAATAAAGCTGAGGAAGTGAGAAGATGGGGGTTCTTTCTTGCTTTTGCAGATTGTTTGACTTGGATCCTGACCTGTTGCCCCTTTTCCAGTACAACTGCAAGCAGTTTGCCAGCCCTCAGGAGTGCCTCTCTGCCCCTGAGTTCCTGGATCACATCAGGAAGGTGAGAGAGGTGCTATGGCATGGCTGGAGCACAGTCTCCATGGAGGAAGAAGCCCTTAGGCAATGACTTGAGACTGTGGTGTGTCTTAGCAGGGAATGCATGGGAAGTTTCCTCCTGAGATGGCAACTGCAGGGGTTATTTTTGCTAGCAGAAGGCACTATTGCCAGGACAAAATGTCCTACAACAGTGGGGAGGGGATGAGGATGCGGGTTGTGGTGGCTAAGAAGCACCATGCTGATTTTCATGCCCTTGTCTGAGAGTGAATTGCCTCCTGTGAAAGCTGGAAGCCTCCTTCTCCTACCTGAGTGAGCTGCCTCAAGGAGCTCACTTCTGTCCAGACAAGGACTGAAGCCCTCTGCTTGGCCACATGCTGACCAGGAGTTGGCACAGAGCTGGACAGTGGACCAGGCTTGCATGGACCCATTAATGTGGAGAGGCTCTTGGTGCAGCTGCAGAGCCAGAAGGCCCACAACATCTCTCAGAGAGCCTCTGAGCACAGCCTTGGCTTGCAGATGCTTTCATAAACTGCCTGGCTCCATCTTAAACCAGTTTGGTGCCTTGCTTGCCTGTCTTTATTCCTTGTAAGAGGCTGTTTCAGGACTGTGCTCCTCTGATAGCTGCAAGCATTTTATTGTTTTCCAGCCTCTGTTTGTTGGCAAAGTTAAGTCCATTTTTACTTCTATTATTGCTTTGAGCTGACATAGCTATTTGCTCTTGTTGGAGATAAATTCCCTGTTGAAATTATAGGGCACAATTCTATTACCCCTTGGCTTTGCCAAGATAACCATGCCCTGGCTTTAATCTCTTCTTCTAATTTTGTATGTCTGTTCCCTTCATCCTTCATTACATTTCTCTGTCCTGTTTCCATTTGGTTCTTGATGCTCCTGGGAGAGACCATGTGGTATGTACTTTACCAGCCCAAGTCAAGAGACCTGGCTGTACTATCCACCCCATATCTTCAAATACCTTGGCTGATCTTAGAATCAGAGTGGCCTTATTCACAATTGCGCCATCTTGGCAACTCCTAGTTGAAAACTCCAGTCCTAGCAACTTCCAGTCTTCCCATACAGTTGTCCTGGGGTTCTAACAGTTGTAATGACTGCATCTGTATTAGGTCTTAGCCTGCAGCTGCTCTGCTATAGGGCTGTTTACCCTCTCTAGGACAGGGTGGTTAGCAGTGCTGCTTGCTGTGCATCTCTGGCAGTGTCCCATGGAAGGATGTGGTGTGTGCTGCTGCCAGCATGCCTCACTGATTTGACACACGGATCACAGTAGAGCAAAGGAAAGCTCAGAGGGCATCTGCTGGGCTGGGAGCGGGTCAGGCTGACAAGGGTGAAGTAGAAGAGTCAGACTCTTTGTTCCTCTTGCTGTTAATGCCATTCTGCCTTTCTGCTCCTGCACCAGGTGATGCTGGTGATTGATGCTGCTGTGAGCCACCTGGAGAACTTGTCTTGCCTGGAAGAGTATCTCTGCAACCTTGGCAGGAAGCACCAGGCAGTTGGTGTGAAGACTGAGTCTTTCTCGGTGAGGTGTCCTCTCTTGTTCCGTTGCAGCTGTGTTTGTGCATCTCTGCCTGCAGCCCTTGGCTGTCCCCATCCTTATCCTAGGTTCAACTGGCCGGAGAGAAAGCTGGTGGCTCACGGCATCCCACCCAAGGTGCTGATAAGTATGTAGTGACATTTGCCCAATGAGGGAAGCCCTTGAGGTCCCCTCATTTTCTGCCCTTCCTCAGTAAGCCCAGGGAGAAAGGACAGATGGGCGCAAGGCATTTCCACTCTTTGAAGAGGACCATGGTTTGGGGCACTGCAGTCTCTTCTGTGACACAGGGCTTCAGGCTCAGCCTTTGCCCTGGATCTCTGCATCAAATGCTCTGGGCAAACCTTGCCGCATCGGGAAAAGGGAGCATCCACTTCTCTGTGTCTGCACTGAGATGGGGTTGCTGCACCCCAGCCCCTTCTTCCTCCATGGCAGTAAGACCTGAGCATCTTCCATATTAAACCCTTGCTTACTCCTCTCCTGCCAGCAAACATTGACAGAAATGCTGGATAATTCAGCAGGGAACGGTAGGTTGAAGAAAAGGTTTCTAACCAACACATGGCTCACTCCTGATACTGCTAGTTTTTGTCCTCTTCAGTGGGAGCAGGGTGCCTTTTGTTTGTGGTAGTGATCCCCACCAGCCCTGCCCTCAGTGTGTGGGTGCCCCTGCATGGGGTTGCTCATAGCTCTGTGAGGAGCAGTGCCCTGTGGAGAAGCCTGAGAGGCATCAAGGCAGGCCCTAAGCATCCAGCCTGGGATCTGACCTGCTCTCCTGACATCGGGACATTGCTCAGCTCTGCTGCTTCACTGCTATGCCAAGGGATGGGGCCGTCTACTTGCATGTGGGAGCCGTGGAGGATGGATGTGTCTCTCTCCCCTGGTGTTGCATGCATGGTGTCAGCCCTTGCTCCCTGCCTTGCCCTCCCCAGTCACCCAGTGTGTGGGATGAGGGCCTGCATAGGGCAGGGAAAGGGATGACGGGCTGGCTCTGGGTCCCCTCTGAGCTGCCAGGGATGGGAGGCCTGGTACTGCTAGTGGAGGAGGAGCAGGTGCCCTGCAATGGGAGAAGTCAAAAAAGGTGGTGAAGTGAGACAAGGGACTGATGCTGAGCTTGACATCTCCCTGTTTGGTTTGCAGACTGTTGGTGAGTCCTTGCTGTACATGCTGGAGAAATGCCTTGGCACTGCCTTCAGCCCAGAGGTGCAGGAGGCTTGGAGCAAACTCTACAGTGCTGTGGTGAAAGCCATGCAGCGCGGCTGGGACACCCACCCAGAAGGGGACTAGATCTTCCCAGCCATCCCTGTCCCTGACCATGCAGCAGTCCTGAGCACAGGGAGCACTCACGCCACACTCTCTGCCTCTCCCTACCTGTCTCTCTCTGTGCACCAGCCCATTGCTGTCTCCACTGGTCACATGTGCTTTGGGGCTCTCACAGTGATTCAACCTTGCTTCAACACATCTCTGCCTTTGGTAAGGGCTGGCAGGGTACGTCCCTGAAGTGAAGCCTGGGTGTGCAGCAGCACAGGTATGCCACCCTGCCCCAAGTTACTTTGGGCTAGTTGGAGCACCAACACCCATGAACCTACTCTGTTTTTTAGCTGGCTTATCTTCCCTCCTCTGACTACCCACCCTAGTTAGGTGACAGCTGGCATAGGCCTCTTGGGCTTATTTGCCTGAGATCCTATTTGCTGTGCCTGTACTAGCCAGGTCTGGCACTGCTCGCTCCTCCTGCGCTGCTGTGTCTGGTTCAGCTGTGGCAGTGATGGATTTGGCTCCCTCCAGGGGCAGGGGCAGGGGCAGGGGCAGGAGCAGGGGCAAGGGCAGAGGGAGGGGCAGGGGCAGCAGAGGTGAGGGCTGGTCACACCATGAGGCTTTTCCCCCTTTCCCTTCACCAACACATCACTAACAGATGGTTAATCCTGGTGCTCTCTTCAGCCTTGCCTCTGCCCTAGATCGGATCCATGGTTTTCCCTGTGTCAGGTTGGCCACAAGTCAGTAGGTTTCCTAGGGATGATTCAAGCAGTGGTGTCACATTAGTCTGGGCTGCCAGCTGAAAGGCTTTGTGTTGGTTTGGCCAGTTGGTTTAATCTTAGAGCCACCTGAAATGCAGCAGCAGTGTCTGTTTACTGCTTTGTGTTGAGGAGAATAAAGTAAATACAAGGCAAAGATGTCTTAAAATAAAAATGAAGGTTGCAATCATGTCATGGCAACAGCTTCCAGAAATTCTGGCTCTTGGCCAGAGGAAGCATAGCTGGAATCTTTCTGCTGATGCTGTCAGAACCTGGAGTGCTTCCCAGCTGCACACAGTACCCATGTGCAGAGTTCCTCACCCTCACAGGAATGAGAAGATAGCATCTGCCAGAAAAAATCCCAGAAAATGGCTGAGAAGCAGTACCTGAGGGCTCTGGGGAAAGCTGAGCTTGAGCACTTTAAGGAAGTGTTCATCTTTATGTTGAAGTCACTGTGGAACAGGCAGAACCATGTTGCTAGCCAACACTAGCCCCAGAGCAAGGATATGGAGCAATTTTTTGGTTACAGGGGGATGCACAGGAGGGGTCTGATGTTGAGGGCTGAGATGGTCCTGTTCTGGAGACACATTCCTCCAATACTCAGATGTCCTCCAGGCTGGGGCAGGAGAAGGCTCCCAAGCCCATGCCATGGAGGGAATGATGAGTCTCTGATTTCCTGATACCAGGCCTGATGGTAGCCATGGGCTTCCAGCAAGCAAAGAGCCTTCCAGCTGTGTTTGGTAGGCAAACTGAGAGGTGCTGTAGATCAGGCAGTGAACATCCCCATGTTCATTGTTCTCCCCATGATACCATGTTCTGCCTCTGCAGTGCTACAGTGTGGTGCTGTGCATTCTGGCCTCTGGCTCTCTCCATCTGCTGGATGAGGTGAAGTCCTCCCCATTCTTGCACCCAGCAATGAGGGATGGAGGACCCAGGCCTGGAGGGAGGCACTAGCTCTGATGGCATGATATGGGGCAGGAGGGTTTGGGAATGGGAATGTCCTCTTTGCAACCCTGTTCTGGGGCATCAGCCTTCAGCATCGTGGGAGTGTGACACCTTCTGGCTCTGTGTGACAAGTAGGCAGCTATGTGATGGGTGGGGTGTGGGTGTTACTGCCCCAAGCCATCCCTGCTCCCTCTAGCTTTCCCAGCTCCTTGACTTCTCCTTTTCTGTGCCACGTTTTGTGTAACTCCGGAGAGAACTGAACTAGTCTGTGTGCCTCTTATACCCAACTGTACTGTTTAATAAAGAACAAGAGTGAATCTTAGCCCTTTTTGATGCCTTACGTTTATTTTAATATAAAAGGCCCAAGCAGGCCAGAAAAGGAGTATGACAGAGGGGTTTACTGGTTTCTTGTTGGCTCTAGCTTTGGAGATACTGGTCACTGGGAACACTTTTGTAGTGCAGCTAAACTGACGTGAGAAGGCATCCAGCAGCAAATACCTGTTGGAAGTTTTTGAGCATGGTAATTGAATGGGTGGGCAGCGGAGGGGCTAGCAGAGACATCCTGCTACTGATTACTCATTGCCCTTCAACTATAACAGTCTCTAATGGAATTAGAATCTTAAGCAATCAGCCTAAAAATCCCTTTTCTGTTGTTCAGCTGGTGCTTTTGTTTTTTGGCATAGCATCAGCCCACCTGGTGTTGGTCACTGGCTGCTGGTTGCCAACAGCAGCAGAGCATGGCCTCACAGTGAATTCCTGCCTTCTCCATGCGGCATCCACCCCGCCAGCTGGACTGCAGAGCCACCCCATCAGCCTTGCCCAGGGAGCAGCTGGTGAGGATGCAGGAGGTCCTGTCTCCTCCTTCTTGGGCATGTTCTAGCTTTGACATGGTGGGTTTCCAGCCCTGGGAGAGTTGGGCACTTGATGCTGAAGAACGGTGCCTAGAGTGGGGAAGTCAGCTCAGGGTCTGTAATAGCATCTCGTAAAGGCTGGAAATCCCAGCCCTGGCACAGGAAACAAGGGTGAACAACCTGGGAAAGCCATGCTGCTCTGCCTTGGGGAATGTTTAGGAGGGGGCTTGTTCCACGGGGCAATGTGTGAGGGGCTGTGAAGGGCAAGGAGAGCAGCAGAGATCTTAATGCAAAGAAATCCCCCCTTTAGGTCACTGCTAAAATAAGTTTTCCAGCTCTTCCTGGCCTTGGAGTGCAGCTGCCAGCCTCAGGGCTGGTGGTGGGACCCCAACTCTGGTGCTGCAGGGAAGGGCCAGGGCAGCAGCCTCCAGCAGCACCCTCATCTTTGACTGCCTGCAGCAGCATAGCTGTTTGCCACAGCTCCCACAGACTGCCCCTTTGCTTTGGCTGCTGCCTGGTGGGGATGCTCCTGTCACTGCCCACCATTGGCTGGCACAGTGGGAGACTCCATGCAATTGACTGGCCCTGGCTGTGAGGGACTTCTGAGTGTGCAGGCTGCAATCAGGGAGTAGGTTTCTGAGGGCCAGCATGGCGGAGGTGCAGCGTGATGGGGCTCACACAGCCTCCTTAGGCTGTGATGAGCTTTCCCAGTGCAAGGGTCAGGAAAGCCATGAGCCAGAGGCAATTGCAGCCCTTGTTCACAGCCAGAGCTCCTGCCCCAGCATTTAGCCCCGTTTACCACTCATTACAAACCAGGGGGGCCTCTGTAGGGGTGTGTGATGCAGGACTGGGATTTTAAATTTTCCAGTTTTTCACCTGAAAGAAAGCCCTAACCATGCCTTCTGCCCTGTGCCATAAGCCAGAGTGGCCAGGCAGGGCTCACCTCGGAGGAGCTGTGGAGGAGCCAGCAGGAGGGACCTGCTGAAACCAGAGGTAAATCATTCAAGTAGGAATTCAGGTATAAAGAGCGAGTTTTGGGAAGGATGAGGGGAGTAAAAGAGTACTGTCTGCTCAAAATCTAGAGAAAGACTCCAAAAATGTTGTTTGCTCCCTTCTGTGGGACTTGCTGGTGGGCAGATCACCTTTGGGACCATCTGACCCAGATGGGATGGGTCCCTGCTGCTCCTGCTCCTTGATGTGGTCCCAGAGGGGCTCCAGGCCACCCTCCTGCTACCTTCAGACAGTGTCTGCACCTTTGCTGGTGTTCTGAGCCAGCCCTGCCAATGGGGAGAGTGCTGACAGAAGATGTGCAGGAAATGCACATGACTGTCCCAGGGTTGCACCCCATCCCCAATGTAAGGATGGTGCTAAGGGCTGTGCCAGTCTATCTGATAGGATACAGTGAGGTGCTCTCCTGCTCCTATGACTTTGCTGTTTCTGTCCACTTGTTGGGGTTTGTTTCTGTGGGGGCCGTGATGAGTGGCAAGGTGTCTCGAGGTGGGGTGTCCAAGCAGTTTCCTTGCCACTGAACCCTCTGCAGAACATCCCCAGGCAAGGTCAAAAGCAGTCCACGGTGGGAAAAGGGGATGGAGTACTTCTGCAGGCTCCACTGGCGAGGGTTCCCCCTATACTGGTGCCAGAAAAGACAGGTTGGGGTGACGATGCCAGGCAGCAGCTGGGTGAAGTCATTTTATTCAAGGCACGGTCATAGCAATAAATCACAAGAAGGTACAGACCTCTGGCACATTCCTACAGTGGGGCAGCCAAGGGCAATCAGACCAGCAGCCTGAGCTCCTGAGGACACAGTGCCACTCACAGGCACTTGCTTCCACCCTCAGAGAGGCCACCAGCATCCCCCTGCCCTGTTTGGGGCTGCCCCTGGAGCAGGCAGTGGCTGAGCTGTGGATAGCCATGGGGGCATGTGGGCAGGAAGCCACCAAACCCCTGGGATACTTTTTGGGGTTGGGAGGGAGCAGCTGAGCTCAAGACTTACCCGAGGCAACTGCTTGGGTAGATAGTGTGCTGCAGCCACTGCCCTAGCATGCAGGAGCATGGGTGGGACTGGGGCCATGGGGTTGCCAGCTGGCTGGGCTGAGACCCACCAGCCTCATAGGAATGTCCCAGGGTCCACTTGAGTTCAACTGAGACCCACAACTTGCTGCTGGGCTGTCTTTTAAATCCCCCCCTGCCCAGATCTGGCACACTATGCCCCCCCACCAGTGGCACCACTAATGCTGAGCAGCGCCATGGCCGAGCACCTGCCTTCGTACAGCAGCACTCACCACTCCGGCAGCCCCGGTGCTGGCAGAGCTGCACTATCCTCCCTTCCCCACTCCAGGATGGTGGCAACTCCAGTTGCTCTGAAGCTAGCAGAAGAATCAAGGACAGGAAAATCAGCTCTGAGGCCTAAGAAGGGCTGAGCAAGGAGCCAGCATGCCCAGGTGGGCTATGGCGGGAGAGGGGCTGAGCAGGCTGAGGATAAGCCCTCATCCCCAGGGGCCACCACAGATACTCTGGCCAAGCTGGAAAACTCCAGGGATGCTGTCTGGGCAGGAATCAGCGCACTTACACTAACCACAGCAGGACTCACACTCGAGAGGCAGTGTGGCTGCTGGGGGAGCATCCCAGAGCTGTGGATTGTGGGTGAGGGCAGGCAGGATGTGGTGGACCAGGAAAACCTGGAAGTCTGGGTCCTGCTAGCCCTCACCCTGCTTTTCTGTTGCAACAGGACAGAGCCATGCTGGGTGTCATGGGCAGCCCCAGGGAGAGTGTGAGCACGAGGGGGATACTGCCAGGGGAGAGGAGTGACAAGGAGCTGCTCTTGTAGCCATTAAACAGACTTGTCCCTTGACCTCCCACTTCTCCCCAAGAGCCCAAGGGTGTAGGCATAGTGCAGCAAGATGGAAGGATGGGGTGAGAAGATGAAGAAGAGCTGGGCTTGCATTTGATGCCTGCCTTGGGGCAGGGCCACTGGTGCTC